GGGGGGGGAGAGAGAGGCAGGATCATACCAGAAGTTAAGTCAATTTGCAAGAAGGCAAGAAGTTTCAAGATCACATATGATTACATGTGTACGAACACTTATTCATATATGATTAGACACATCCTGGAAGGAGGTGGGCAATTTGGCAAACGTGACGAAAGGTCGCAGTGGAAGGTTGCCAGCTATGCGTTGGTCAATGCAATACGTGCTTAATCATATATTATTAAGGGGTTGTTCGTTTGTGGCTTAATGGGCTGTGTAAGCCTTTATAGCTTATTCGCTCAGTTATAAAAAAGGTTGTTTGGTTGAGAGCTTATTCGCTCAGCTGTAAAGACTGTTCGGTTGGAGCTTATTCGCTTAGCTGAGGTTATTCGCTCGGCTCAAATACATTAGTCCTATGGCCTCAACCATTAGTATTCCCCATCCTCCTCTCCTCTATAGATCGATCGCTGCTCCTCTCCTCTATGGATCGATCGCTGCTCCTTCTCTATAGATTAATCGATGCTCCTTCTCCTCCAGAGATCACGACTTCTCCTCTATAGATCGATCGATGCTCCCTTGACCTTCTTCATATCTGGTTGCTCAATTTCTCCAAACTCGATCTTCTCTCTTGTTGCTCCCTTGGTGATATGTTCTTGTAATCGATTGTTCTTGAAATCTGCCCCTCGATTTTTTGCTAGGTTACTGGGTGTTTCCCGAAATCGAGCCTCGATTTTTTGTTGATTACAGTGCCAATTGGACCAATGTTTCTGATTTAGGGTTTTTCACCTGTCTTGTTTGATGTGAATTTTTGATTTAGGATTCTTCATTTTTCTTGTTTTTTTTCCTCATGATTTTGGGTTTGATGTGAGTTTATTTTGATTTAGGGTTCGCCTTTCTTGCTTGATGTAAGTTTTTTTTCCTTTCGTGATACTGGGTTTATTTTGATTTATCACTTCTCTGATCATCATAGAAGTTTGTTTTTCCTTCAACGAAAAACAAAGGGTAAAATAGTAATTTGTATCATTCAGCCTATTTATTCAACATAACAACAGAACAACAACTTATCAGTTATTATACAAACAACTTTATCACTACAAATAACTTTATCCATACATGACTTAATGGAAAACGAACCGAACAACTCTTATATGATTTTAGAACTTCTCACTTACAAATTGATTGCTTTCTTGTTTGAACTTGATCTGTACATATATGCCTATAATCCATGTGGAAAACCATAGAAAAATAAAAAATTGAGGAACACCCTAATAATCATGTGTATACCGAACACATGAATGATCATTAGAGTATTCCTTAATCTTCCGTTCTTTATAGAGAGAGGGAGAGGGGGGGGGGGGGGGAGTTTCAAACATAAACCATGTAATTGTTACAAACTTTACAATCAATCTCAACCGTACGTGTAGATAATCAATGGTGTGGATTAAATCAGTTTTTAAATTTACTCTTAGCCGTATTTTTAACTGATTTGATAACTGACTTTAAATTCAAAATCAAGGGTTTGCATTAGGTTTAAAGCATTTGACAAAAACTATTAAAACCATTTTTTATGCATGAAGTACTGTATATTGATGCATAAGTACAATTTATTAAAGCTTCATGTTTGAATTCGTGTAACTAACTGCAGATAAATATAATCAAATAGAAGATAAACATCTTATTTTAAAATATAAAAAATCTAAAATATAATTAAAATAATTATCGAGTTTTAACAAAATAATTAATTATTATCTTTATAAGAAAATTATATTATTAAACCACATATAAATTACTTCGTTGTTGAACCTAAATTAAATTATAATTAAAAAGATAAATTAAAAATTTACACAAAAAATAAGAATTTTAAATAGTTAATTTGATATTAATATCGTTATATTTTTGTCAATTTTTTATATCTTCAAATTTATATTTTATTCAAAAATAAAAACATCATCGGTTTTCAAAATCACATAAGATCATACTATAACATCGATTTAGATAAATAATAAAATAAAGTCAAAATGTATGTCGCTGCATTGCACGGTACCCTTCTTATCTATATCTATACTATATTATAAAGCATTTGACAAAAATTCTTAAAAACCACTTTTTATGCGTAAAGTACTGTTTATTAATGCATATTACTTAAAACTCAAGATTGCAAGTAAATTGTGCGTAAGTACAACTTATTAAAGCTCCCTATCTGAATTCGTGTAGCTAACTGCAGATAAACATAATCAAATACAAGATAAACATATCATTTTAAATATAAAAAATCTAAATTATCAATTAAGATAATCATTGAGTTCTAACAGAATTTTAATTATTATATTTATAAACAATTATATTATTAAACCAAAAATAAATTAATTCGTTATTAAACTAATAAAGTACTTAATTATTATCTTTATAAAAAATTATATTATTAAACCAAAAATGAATTGGTTCACTATTAGATCTAAATTAAATTATAATTAAAAAAATTGAATCAAAGAAGTTACACAAAAAACGAAGAACTTTTTAAATAGTTAATTTGATATTAATATCGATATTTTTTTTCAAAATTTTAATTACAATATCTTCAAGTTTATATTTTACTATCGTATCTTTTTTGAACCAAATACCTTCCTTTGTCATCTCTGGTGGAGCGACTCTCGGACGAATTTTCAACGTGCTTGATGAACCTGTTGACAATTTTGGTCCTACAAATACTAGCATAACATTTCCTATTTATAGATCTGCGCCTACCTTTATAGGCTGAAGACTTTCTCTTTCTATCCAAGCAAGCCCCCAATGGCACGCTTCTGTCAAGTAGGTGAAGTAGGCATACGAACCACTTTAGGTCAAAAATAAAAAATTATCACTTTCTAAAAAACATTTAAAAACTGTATTAAATCTATAGAGAAATAATAAAAAGAAACAATAAAATTGAGATATATCTCGATGCATTAGCCTTCTCAAAAATCTTAAAAACAATTTTTAATGTACAAAATACTATACATTTATGCACAAAATCTTAAAAGTTTTAAAAACAACTCATGATGCATTAAATACTACTATTTTATGCATTCAATCTTAAAATCTCTTAATCTACAGTTAAAATAACATATTGTACAAATTACCAATGCACATTATTAACTTTTCTTTTCATGTTCCCAAGATATTTTTGACATTTTTCATTCATGTCTTCACCCTCTTATACATCTATATCTTCTCCTCATCCCCCAAGGTGAGATTCAAACTGATATTTACCGTGAGTTATTAAAAGTTCTCTCATTCATCTCCATTTAATTGCTCTCAAACTCTCGGTCTCACTCTCGATATTTTGATTCTTTGCTCTTGGTGTAAATCAAACACATTTGTGGAGTCGTTTAAATATATTAGATTTTAAATTGTCGTACAATTTTTTTCATCGATAGATTATAATTGGAACCATAAGTCTTATTTATTCAAATTGTATTAATATGTAAAGACCAAATGTAACTTATATTATCGTTAAATATTCTCTAATAAAATCAGTGAAACTTCAAAATCGTTAAAATTCACGGCTCCCACTGCATTACACGGATGCTAGTTTACAATTAGTATATATATATATATATATATATATATATATATATATATATATATATAGGTGGAGGTTCAAACGAGAAC